AAAAAAAAAAGGGACTGGTCTACTCCTCCTTCAACAGCAGAGGCTTCTTCTTCCTCAAAAACTTAATCAACCCATCGATGAAACTCCACTAAGCTCTATCACCATGAACACCAAGCCAAACCTAGTTGAAATAACTCCCAAAAGTACTTCACTTTCAGCTGAAAACAAGCTAGAAGGCAGCTTCATTTTTTAGTCAAACACGACCTCAAAATGCTGTCAAAACCCAGCTCGTGAAACCACCACAAAACCAGCCCCAAAACGACCCTTTAACACTCCAAAAACGCTGCCAGAAAATCAGTTGAAATACCTCGTCAAAACAGCCATAAAACCCGTCCAATACAACCCCAAAACAGCTTCAAAATAGCCTTTACTCACTTCAAAAATCGAGTTTCGGCGAGGTCAGTTGAGTTTGTCAAACTCCGTTCGGTGGTCCGGTCTGCTTTCAAGTTTAGATTAGTGGCTCTGCTAGCGTTCGCGTTTTAAAGGTCCCATTCTAACTCTATCCATTTTATTTTATCTTTTGATTTTCATATCTTACTTTGTTTATGTTTGAATAATGTTTGGAGAAGTTCTCTGTTTACTCTATGCCTCTAGACGAGAATTTTGTCTTTATTTGTTTAATGGAGATTAGCTCATGATCATTTAGCTAACTTGTCTTGTTGAGAATATTACTAATTAACTACTAATTTTTAAGTTCATATTTGGTGTGCTCATGACATACAGTGAATCCGTTTGTAAATTTTTAGGGGGTAGATGAATATTTTTGTTTTTCTTATGAATTTGTAGTAATATGTAGTAGGAAGGGGCTGTTTGATTTGTTGAGTTTGAAATAAAATAATTTGAAATATATTGAATTTAGAAAAGAATTCATGTCTGCCAATTGATGTCTATGAGCTAATTTGAACATGGGTTCTGATATAGGCGTATGTGTTGTGACCGACAAAATGATGCTAATTAGATTTTGGTAATGGACTATTATTTGTTAGCTTTAAGGGACTGTAGGCTTGGTTTGGATTCTTAGAAGAAAGCATGTACATGCTCATGTAATAGGGTTGCATAATAATCCCAAAGTTTAGTTCAAATAACTCACAAACACGTTAGTCGCTTTAAGCGCGTCTTCATAAGATAATCGTAATTATGGATACGGTTCCGTAGCATAGTCATGATACGCAATCTCCAATTCGAGTGCGCGTTTCACGTGACTTGACCATAATTTCAAATAATTAAAATAAGCATGTTGCGAATCCGTTTCTCGTGGCGTGATTTGCAAATTATCTCCCAAAACTTTTGGAAATGCTATCATTATTATGGGTAAAATTATAAAATACATACTTCATATATATTTCTTTAAAGGGTGTGCAAAGTCAAAAGTGAACAACTAAAAGTGAACGAAGAGGGTACTAAAAAAAAAGTTGTTATTTCGATATACTAAAAAAGGTAAAGAAGACAGCACATACAAAAACAGCAGGTTTGGTCATTGAATTCATTATACTCGTTTTTAGTGCTCTGATCTTCAAATTAAGCTAGCAAAATTGGTCGTTCTATTACTGTGCAGAATAATACTAAAATTGTATTCAGCAACGAAAGAATCCAAGTCAATAGACTCATCAAGTTGTTGTCATATTAGCAAGGTTACGTTATGGAAGAATGCCTTTCTACAATAGTAGGAGAACAAGAGCCGTGGCCGTGCAGGGCTGTAAAGTTGAAGTGACTAAGTCATGGTCCAATGCTTAGTGCATCGTTGTATTTATGGTATGGTTCGGAGATGATGGTAGTATGCATATATGTGCGCATTGTGTGTAATATGTGGCATACATACTACTAAATGAAATTAAAATTAATGAAATCCTGTTCATATCGACTTTTGAAGTCATAGTAAAATGAAGTCTCATGCCTATTCAAGAGACCTAATTAGTGAAATCTGAGAAACAGGCTTCAATTTTTTTGCAGAATCTGTCGCAACAGATGTGAAAGACAGCAGCCAATTGCAAGATGCTTTGGTTTGAGTCCTTGTCCAATTCGGAATTACATAAATGGTTCAGGATTAATTCGAAATCAATAAGCTCCTTGATTAATGTATTTATACGT